GCCAAGTATGTTGGCAATTGACCGTCGGCCATGATTGACACAAACACAAGAACAACAGAAGACTGTATCCTGCCATAGCAGGCCATGATTTTGGATCTTGATTCATACTATGTTGTCTGAACAAATTTTGCTTCAAACTATCTGCCTTGCCTGATGGTTTATAAAGCAGCGATTTAAGGAGTTTCAATGTAAAATATTATTGGTAAGTTGTTGAAATTTGAAAAAGCTAGCTATTGAATAATAATATAGGTCTGCATTTTTGTTTGATTTGGGATCACATGTGCCATGATTATGAACCCAAGAATATGGATTAATTTAATCTTGATATTCATCAAAAATGGAATGCACACTTAGTACTCAGTCAAAGTAGGGTCCCCAACCTATTGTAAAATGGAAATTTATAGGTTTTTCAAATAATATTTTGGGAGCGTGAGTTCCTAGCATTTCATTTCGGGAGATTATATTGAGTATTGACACCATAATTTTTATTTGTTACACTACATTTTAATTACAATTAAGCTCCTCATTTTTTGATCATTGCAGCAATTATTTCCTTAAATTTTTTTGTCGAATTCTTATCTTTAACCTGTCATTGATTAGTACGTCTAGTCCTTGATGATCATTTATGTCAGAATATTTTCTTTTCATTCTTTGAAATGGAGGAAAAATATTTTTTGGACTTTTTATTTTTTAAATATGATGAAAAATAAGTAGTTTTACGCCATTTCAACGGATTTTGGATATAAACTATTATTAAATACAAAATGTATTAACTAATGGAAAGTTTGAAGATAAGAATGTCATGAAAAGTCGTAAGGAATATAAGTGCTATAATAATCAAATATTAAAAACCTTAAGTGCAATTAAAATGTGATACAATAAATAAAAATTGTAGTTGCACAATCACCCCAACCTTCCAATGGTTAATGGGTTCTTTTTTTTTTTTTTTTTTTTCTTTAATTAAAGATAAGGGTAAATTTGTTTTTTAATAAATATTTGAGTGTTTATTCAATAATAAGGTTAGAATTGTCTACTAAGGACTTGTGTACTAAATATTATGTTGAGGATTATAACTTCAAAACAAGGGAACTACTTGCTACATTTCGAATATTAGGGCCCAAACTGTAATTTTCACATTAAATTATCCTGCTTTGGAACGCGGTTAAAGGTGTATTATTTTAAAATTAAATATATTTTTTTATTTCAAATTTGTCAGATGTTCAAATAAAAGGGGGTGCTATAGATATTCACGGACCCCTCTACTGTGAGAGAATTGTACACCGATGTGTTATAGCATCTTTTGTTAGATATTTTTCATCATTTTGCATGTATTATCTTTTGTTTTGCGAATATTTTGCCGCTACGCAACGGGGATCGACCTGAAATTTGAATATGGATTAATTTAATCTTGATATTCATCA